TGAATGGTGGCTGAGGAGAGCAGAGGGCATGTACATACTGCATTCTGTTGCCACTTGATATTCCAGTTCAGGGCATCTAACCTCATTTCACTTGGAAGCTAATGTAAGCAGTTCTTACTGATACAAGTACTAAAATAGGAAACGAATAATTCCTGGAATCTGCATTGGCCTATTATGAATGTCAGACATTAAAGAGAACATTTCTTCGTAAAACTTTCATTCTAGGAATCAAATAGACTCCTTTAGCCCCTCTTCCATTCATTTTAATATGAACGGCCATGTAAGTGCTCTCAGTAATAATGCTATCCCAATTTTTGTGTGACATTCTGTCAACGATGTACATTAAAACGAGATTATTAAATGGAAGATGCTTTTAGGTCCCCATATTTTTGCCATCTGAGGCAGGATCATTAGGTTAAGATAAGAAAATAACAGTGATCTGTAGCTATTACAGATTATTTAATGCAGTAAGGTAGATGATACCCTTTTAGAAAGAAGCCTGACAGAGGTAGAACAGTTACTGTAATTTATTTGGCAAGAAAAAACAGCGTAAAGCTCTGTAATATCTGTGACAAAAAATAAAATTCACTTGAGTGAAATTGACTTTAGAAATTCGCCTGCAGGAATGGAGCATGCTGGAATGTTAAGAAATGTGTTACAAATCGTTCATGTACCTCTACGTTCAGGAGCAGCAGTTGAGAGTGGCCTGTGGTATCGAAGGCAGCAGGAAGAGGTAAAATACGTTCAGCTTTTAGTGCTTGGTTTACTGCACTATTAATTGAAGACATTATCACAGTTGAACTGAGTACCCCAGTGCCAGTGTGGCTGACAATAATAAAGAGGCAGCCATTGCAGTGAGTTATTCAAAGCATTCCTGTGCTTAGTACATAGCACATTAGCTCCTGTAATTAAATTAAGGCCTTTTGATTTGAGACCACTGCCGTATTGTGGAATCTGCAGGAAATACAGGAGGAGATTTCCGGGAAGGGAGGAGAGAGAGAGACCTCTCTCATTGTGCATCTGCTGAAAAGAAAAGGCAGTGCAAGACAGAGATTACTAATTGCAGCTTTTCCCTCATCAAGAAGTGTGTTTGTCTCAGGAATTAAAGCAGTAAAGACAAGGTCTCAATTCTCACACCTCAAGTGTTCAGTATTAATACAACATAAAGCTGATTAATTATCTTCACAAGAAACTCACCACACTGCAGGAGGACAGGACACTGGTAAGCCCACTTGGCTGAAGAACTATCTTAAATGTTTAGTGGACAAATTTTACTTTCAGTGCAAGAATACTTTGAAGTTGCAATGGGCCTAGTACGACAGTGTCAACTAAATGCCATCAAGAACAACCCAGAAGCCAGTGTGAGATATTTTGGAGGCTGAATTTCGTCCTAAATATAAAAATATATTAAACAGAGTTTGATCAGTCAAGGCCCAGAAGACTGAGCTCCGCATCTCTGAGTCAGAATCATTTAGACTGGAAAAGACCTCTGTCATAAAATTTGTCCATTAAGAAGTTACAGCCTAAAATGGAGTATTAGAATGATTTGTAAGCAGGCACACATTGTCAGTGGAAAAGAAGAGACAGGAACTTAGGGATGCAATTTTCATGGTTATTTTTGTGGGTATACACCAGGTCTGTGACATCAGAGAATAGTTCTCTTTGAAAGCTTTCTCCGTGGTTTAAGATAAGTGGGTTTTAGAGGAATGCTGTGTGCAGGGAAGACAGTGACTGGGATTTGGAAGTGCATTTGCACCAAGCACAAATGTGGAAATGAAGGAAGAAACTCAGAAGCTGATCTTATTAGTGGAACAGGAAAGAAAGGGGAAGATACCTTAGAGGTCCGGATCGAAGCCCTAATGAAACATTGGACTGCACTTTCTGACTGGGATGGGAGGGGGAAAATAGGAGTTCGTGACTGGTACTAATTAAGTAGCTTAATATCTTACTAGTGAGAACTCAAAAACTGTTGTGGAGAGAAATAATCGGGTGCAGTATCTTTTAAGTGCTGTAGAAATGAAAACTTCTAGCAGGAGTTAGTAGCTGTGACATTTGTACTGGGAAGAAATTGGCCCCGTTTTAGAGATACTGTGAAGTCATGGATTAATGAGGCCCACGCCAGTCACTGCAGATAATGTCCTTCTTAAAGAGCTGACAAACTGAAGTGTTACACTGAGAAAGAGCTGACAGCCTAAAGTGTTGCCCTGAGAAGACAATGCACAGTAGTGATCAGCTTGGCATTACAATTTATTGGAATAGCTCACTGTCCAGGAATCATGAAGGAAGAAAATCTGCAGAAAAACATAAACATGGTCAAAAGTTGTGAATTGCAATGAAAACCTAGTTTTGTGCAGAGCGGGCTTGTGGAAAAGGGCAGGTGAGGGAGGAACTGGCAAATGAAACACTGAGTCTGGCATCACTTTCAAAGTGATTTTACAAATAAGCATCAAAATCTGAGAAGACAAGGCTGACGAAATTTCTTAGGGAGTCTTAAAAGCAAAAGACAGACATTGAATATTTCAGGTCTGATCCATGTGTTAAGGAAAAATTGCTTTTCCAGGAAATTAGTTGCTTTTACCTGCAGAACATAAATTAATGTTCTGAGGGAATAGAAATCTATGTAATATTCTTATATCTGCAGCTGCTAGCAGTGTTTTGGTGCTTTCTAAATAAATGCCTTTTTTCTTTCAGAACCGAGTTGTAGTGTTGTTTTTCCCAGACAAGACTGATTTTGCATTCAAGAGTTACGGTTTGGCATGTTAATAATTATGAGGTGGTTGTCAGAGTGAGGAATCACTGCAGATTTCTGAGTCACTCCACCCATCATCTTTTTGAAGGCTTTATACAATTGCTTTTAGTTTCCCTTTGGTTTTGTGGATCTTCAGTGGGGTAATGGAGGTGTCTTCTAGGGCTTACGAGTGCATCATTCAAATTTTACACTTAGAGAAATTTAAGTCTGTGTTTAGAAGCACCCAGAAAATCCACATTGCACCAGATCATTGGCTGGTGCTGAATGTTTTATCTTTGGTTATATCAATAGAGCTCCAGCATTTTACATCAGGTTAGTATTTGACCATTCCTGTGTTCTAAACACCCAGATAATGCTTCGAGTGAGATGAAAGAGTAGAAGAGTTGAATCACTCTTGAGGAAGCAAAAAATGTTAAGTAAATTGAATACTTTCCTCCCATCAGCAAGCTGGGAAAACTTAATTACATAGGACTGGAAAAAACAGCTAAGCCAAAGCTTCTAAAACATTTCCTACTGTAAATACTTGTATTGAATTGGCAGCAATTGTTTAATGTAATTTGGGCTGTTCCTCTACGTCAGCTCTGATACTGGTGTTTATTATTCTTGGAAACATTAGCTGTCTATGAGAGCTTCTCAGTTTTAAATGAGAAGCAAAATTGTTAGTTTAGGAGCAATTGTGGGTGTTGATGGCCAAGATTTTTAAAAACCAAGAAGGAATAATTAATCAAAACAACTATCTGATCAGAATGAAATATAAAACAGAGGGTGAATTAGTTTTACTTAGGAACAAAACAGGAAAAAGCAAAAAGGATAATTTGGCTCTGAATTTTCCTCCTACTTTATATAACATATATTTTTATTTGATTAGCAGTACCCAGGCATTATCACACAAAAACCGGGGCTCTGAAATGCTTTCATCCATCATAGTTAGCTACTGTCTTACTAAAGGACTGGTAATTTCTTTGTAAATGGTTCCATTCTTTGTATCAGCTGTAACTTGAATAATTGCATTCCGGTAGCATGTCTGTAAAGAAGTCCCAGTTCATTGTCAGAATTATTCATACACAGAAGGACTTGAAGAGAAAACAACCCAGAGGTATTTGTATAAATACTGATGACCTATAACACACAAAGCATAGGCATATGAGAGTAGGTGCCTGTGTGACTGTTTGGAATATCTAGATTTCCTGGAACCTCTCTCTGTGGGACATACTGCCTGAGACAGCATTTGCTCTTCAAGAGGTCATTGCATCCAGTGCTTGAATACCACATCCTGTCTTCTCTGTGTGAATGTCATAGATTCTGTCATAGAGCTTCCTAAAAATAGCAGTCCAAAACTTCCCCTGTACATCCTGCTGTTTGTGTAACAGGATTTTCACTGATCTGGTTTTTCCATGCCTATCCTTTAAAAATATATTATATGTAAAAATACATGTAAAACTCCTGGAAGAAAGAAGCTCTCTAAATCTAAATATTCTGAAAGAATTTATTTTTATTTGAATGAATGTTTGGTTCTAGCATTCCAGGACTATTGAATCAGACATTGGTGATAAAATTCTTAGCATAAATGTAAATATAAATATAAATATCATATATCTGTCTCTATCTTTATCTATATTATATGGATATACTTCCTCTTCCACAGCTTTTTAACAGCAATGAAAAAAAGCTTGGTACCATATATCATTATGAATCTTGTTTTCTTTCCTACTGTTACATACATTTGAATGAGACTTTGTTTTGTCACCTTTATCCATATGGTGGGATAAACCTAAGCTGTCAGGGCTGAACAGTATTTTTCTTTAGCCCTAGTCTTAAAATCCTTGAACAGACTACTGGACCTTTCATCCATTACAAGTGTAGAAAAATGAACTGCAGTCAAAATAGGGACACATTCCATGGAAGTAATTTTCCTCCAGACAAAAAAAAGTGTGTATGTGTGTGTGTGTGTATGTGTATAATAATTCATGTAACATCAGTGGATCATTCAGGCAAGTACTCCAAATCAGTCACCCCCAGTGTGGTGCATTAGAAGGAGTGATTATTGTGGGTCCCTTCATGCTTTTTTCACTTTGTTAATTGAATCAACATAATCGGAGGGAAAGTCCTAGTTTTATATTATTTTAAAAGCTTTTTACTTATTCTTTACCTCGCATAGCTTGTTTTGTGGGATATGCCTAGGGTTCGTGGTGCTACTGTATTTGTTCCTTAGTAGCAATTAACTGATTTTATTTTTAAATGTCTTTTATAGATGAAAGAATTCCGAAGTAAGATGCAGTCAATCTTTCCAGCAATTCCTAAAAATAGTGAGTCCAGTGTTGAATGGGAAAACTTACTTAAATCCAAGTGAAAGACTCAGAGCTATTTGGAGATGTCTCTTCCAGCAAGAACAGGAGCGGAAGTAGCAGAAATGTCCCCTCTGGAAAACAAAGAAGACTCAAACTGAGCAAGCTACTGACTGAGTGCACTAAACCTGGGAATGCCAGTTAACATCCAAGAGCAAGGGAATTCAAACCAGTTTATACTGTACTTTTCAGCGTGTTTGGTATAGTTGATTCAGGAGAAAATGAACCCTCCAAGATAAGTTGGATTCAACTGGAAAAAAAGACTTTTTTCAAAGACTTAGAGAAGAAACTAATCTTGATTAGTAAATATATGAATATAATCCCAGTAAACTCCTGTCCCATCCTGCATTTCAAGAAGAATTTTATTATATTTCCCTAGGAAACAAGAACAGTACTTCCAGTGACTTGTCCTATTAGGAATATATATAGCCATCAAGTCAATCATAACAGATCTCTTGCTGAGCCTGAGGGTAAAGCATATAGTGCACTCTTCAAAAATGAAGGACATATTTGAATTTGCAACAGAAAAAGTGTCTAAATCATTTTTATATGTCTGAAGGGTAAGTTTGAAACCAAATATGCAATTAGGGACCTATGAGCTCTACCGCAGAGCATCAAAAGAGATCTCTACAAAGTTCACTGTTTTCTGAGTATTAACTTTTAAAAATTTGATCCCACAATAATGATTCTGATCATGCATATAAAAGTCTCTACTATATTTGTTTATCAATTGAAATAGTAAGTGGAAAAGCTATAAAATAGTGAGACACCCAGTCAGTCCTACGCAAATGTTTTCAGCTAAGAAAGTGTATGGGCAGGACTAATTTTGTGTGTTCCAGTCATTTCTGTGCCTCTTCTATCAGGAGAAGCAATGTGACATTTTCCACACTGCAGTAATCTCATAAAGTGTGGGTGTAAACTAGAAAGAGTAATGTCTTACTCAAGTGTTGTATTTACAGAATTGAAGATATGTAAAACTGCAGAAGTAAAAAAAAGTGCTATCAGTGAACTGCCCTTTGTTACTCAGTTACCAGATTTTCTTATTACTTGCACAAAGTCCAGTTAGTAAGTTGTCAGATTTAATAAAGTCTTTTTAAAACTTGTCTTTTGTGATTTAAGTCTTTATGTTCCTAGGAAAGAATATAAAAAAAGTTTTAAATGTTGGATGAATAATAGAGAAGTGTATTTTTCCTATGAAACATGACACTAAAATAATACCTTTAAAACAATTGAAGTGTAATAGTTGACATCTTTTCTAGAGCTTGATGCTTGTAATTCAATATTAAATAAATTGTGGTGAATACTGCCATCAGACACACATGAAAAATGGTACTATTTTAGCAATTTTTTTAGTTTCATGTGAGTAGTGATACTTGTTTTTCCTACATTTAAGCATATTAGTGCTACCTACCAAGTTTAACCAGCTACCAGGTAGCTGTGTCATTATGGCTGGTCAAATACTCAAGTGGACTAAATAAATGCAAGTTGCATTATTTCTCTAAGGTGGAATTTGGGTCGTCTTTATCTGGGTTAAGTAACTCACCTAAATTGGTCATTCAAAGTGCCTTGCACTTTTCTCTACTTGTTCAGTAGAGAACGACTGGCGAGAGGATGGCTTGCCCTGTACGGAAGTGGATGGCTGTCCCTGGAATTGTACAAGGCATCAGATCTGTCCTGCCTGCTCGCTGCCTTTGGAGAGAGCTCTGCTACCCTTGCTTACCCCCATCAGCACAGTGACTGCACATGGACACACTTCAGGAGAAACTCAGAAAGAAAATGAGTGCTATATAGAGCACTGTAGAGCTCTGAGGGTTAGGTAGGTGGTGAGTCTTGGCACAAGAGAACTGTCCCTTCTGGAAATGGTTAGCCATTGGATTAGTGTAATAGTATTATAAAAAAAAAAGAAATTTCCTTAGGACAGATCAGACGAATTAAATATGAGGGTACCCAGTAACAAGGACATACCAGATGATGCTCTTCAAAAAATGCTAAATGTGAAATAGACAAATCATTAAAATAGAATCACAGAGCAAGTACAGAGTGATGAAATAAATCCATGTTGAGGTATAAGGCTGAACATTAAACGTTTCGAAGAGAGGAATTTGTAGATCATCATATTCCAAACTTTATTCTATGCTTTTGGCTGGAAATAGATTTTCTCTAGATAAGGGTTTGTGTAGAAGTGTGCAAACATAAATCAAGTCTCAGTTGACATGAAAAACACAGGGGATCTTGGATATTTTTTACTGCACTGTTCAGCTCTCTTCACTTGGTGAATATTCTGCTGGTTTTGTGATGGGTCATTTTTTCTTTCTATGAAACAATTCAGCAGAATTATTGGAACCCACAACAAAACATTGAACAAATAGAGGGAAGAGGACTTAGTATACCAATAGGAGTTAGATACCACAGTGTATGTAGTTGTTGAAACTGAGCGAATATAATTATGCAAAAAACAACAACAGACAATAGACATTAAAAAAACCTAACAATTTTCAAAAGTTAAATACTAGAACTAGATACTGGTGCAAAAAAAGTTAGTGGGTCAGTGACCCCCTAATTGCTTTCTTTTGTTTAAAAATTGCTTACTATCCTCTTTCAAGGGAGTGTAGGAACAAAACAGAAGTTTATATTCATCATCTTTTCCTATGCAAAAAGTTACACTGAAGTAAGGTGATGTTTGCAACACTGATAGTAAAGTGGGTAATGCAGGATGGCCACAGTGAGTTCAAATTATTTCGAGTTACTCTTCAGCGCGTCTCTCTTTCATTTCTGCTGATTTTTCTCAACTTTCTGGTCACATTTAGTTATAGGAATAACGGAGGGCATGTATATTTCTAAAATTAGCCTGTAGGCTAATGCTTAATAATCCATGAGCCACCTTCATTCTCCCGTGTTGCTTAGAAGCAAAAAGAAAAAGGAAAACAAACAGTGATGAGAAGAGATCAGCAGCCCTGCCGTGCTCGTGATTACAGAGGGAACCCCCACAGTACCACCAGCCCCAAAGTCACTAACAGTGTATTTGCCCTAGAAGGTAGCAAATTAAAACAAACTGGGAATGTTTGTTTAAATTGGTCCACTGCCCACTGGCAAAAAAATCTCAGGGGCTTTTGCTGTGATTTTTGTCACCTACGGCATCTGCTGACTTAAACCAGTTCCTATGAGCTCATTGTTTTAGAAAATTCAGGTCACCTAACAGGCACGCAGAACGGAGTAGCCTTCAATATTTAGGCTGTCAGTCAAACCTCTCCAGAGAGTTACATGCCTGAAATGCAATTAAGGATGAAGAGCTGAATCAACACTGTGAGAATCTGGGCTGGTGGTTGTGGAATTTCTAGATGTTTCAAACCTGATAGGCCAGAAAACAATCCCATCTGGGCAAATGGCCTATTTTAGCAATTGGGATTAGGCTGACAGAAGTTTTCTGTAATTTGTCTATTTCTTTCATAGTGTGGACATATTGTTAAATTAGTTAATGGGAAGAAAAAATGTTCAACAGCTAATGTGATCTTTTATATGGCATGCCATCTGTGTATTGTGTGCTGAATGTCACTGGCTGTGGGAGAGAGGAAATCATAAAGAATTTCAGCCTTGTCTTCTTTACTGTCATTATCTTGGGCAAGTATGATAAATAATCATATTTATGTTCTGGAGCATATACAGTTTAAATCAACCTATTAACCAGGAAGACATTCTTCACAGACTTTGAAAGGCACAAAAAAGACATCATCTCATCATAACCAATCCATTTCATGGGTGCTGAGCACTAAAAACTTAGAATAGAGTGAACATGATAAGTTATTTTTCCTTTCACATTTAAATAAAGCTATTTGCAGAGACTTTATTCAGGCATATTTGGGGGCTTATCCTGAGATTCTGGAAGGGAACAAATCAGATTTTGTAGTCTGTTGCACAGATAGTTTAAGAAATTTTTAATCCTCTATGTCTCATAATCATCGATTTTATTTAATTGGACACATGTTTCTATGAAAGACTTTTTGCTATTAATTGGAGCTTCAAGAGAATCAGTTCAGTTATTCATCAGCCTGACAACTGTGGATCCTGCTCTCCTTCCAACCTGAGGTGTTACTGTGATGATCAGCAGAGCAGGGAAGAGGCAGCTGACAATGAGTGTTTGGGTGTGGGTGCAGTTCTTGCCCTATGGCTGCTGGCCCTCGCTCTGGCTCACCTGTGCTCTGCTGGCACAGAGGCACAACAAGGCTGTCCTGTCCCGAGGAGGTGCTGCACTCACTCACTCACTCACTCACTCACTCACTCACTCACTCACTCACTCACTCACTCCAGAGTTTGAGCAGTCAGTGCCAGTTGCTGTGCAGTACAGCCCACTCAGCCACAGGAAGGTTTTCCAGACCAAAAGCTCTGTTGCCATATGTAAGGTTTAGGAACGTGCAGGGACAGCATCTGCCTCATTAGCTCCTGCTGAAGCTGTTGCAGTGAATGTAAATAACACAATAGTTATCACACTGGAGAGAAAGGAAAAACCTGAGGAGCTGCCTGACAATGTTGTGGTCAAGCTATTCACTTGAGAAAGGAAAGGGTGAAGTTCAAGAATATCTAACATAAAGGGGGAGCAGTTTTGACTGTGGAGAGGGGTGCCTCCTGTGTCAGATATGCCCCAGGATAGCCTCCTGGGATGTACAGACCTATTTCAAATTTAATGCTTTCTGCTTTGCTCTTCCTTAAAAAAAAAAACCAAAAACAAAAACCAACTCAGAATGGGAACATTTGCTTTCATGGTTGGTTGGATTTTTCCAGTACAGAAACATTTTCTGTATCCTTCCCTAGAAGAAACATTTTCACCACAAGACTGAACTTACTTTTATTGTGCACCACTGGACTTGATTTGCATTCGTCTTTTCTGTAAGGCCTCTGGAGTCCTTGCAAGCGATAGCAACTGATTAAACTCTATAACTGATTCCTATCCTTCCCCTTAGCTGTTGGACTATGACTTAAAATTGATAAAATGTACTGGACAGGTTATTGTTCTCTACTCTGCCTGGCTACGCAGCTTATTTATTATTTGGTACGATTTATCTCAAGAGTACTGTGGAGATGATTTGCAGAAAGTCTGGGATTCACTCATATATCTGGGTCTGGTTCATTGCTTTCATACTCTGTTGTTCTACAGAGACATATGTAGATCCATACCAGTTCTTTACTACTTTTCCTTCTCCTTTCATTTAGGTCCTTTTTTTTCTTTGAAAGTAATGAAGGAAAAAAAGACAAGTGGTTTTAGATGTGTGGATTTTAGATGCTCACAGTAAGAGCTTTATTGATAATAGATAAAAAGACAATACTGGCAAGTACTTATTTTGCAGCTCTTTAGAGGAGCAGGATTTTCAGATTGGGCACACAGGATTATCTACCTTTTAAAAAAATTGCCTCGCTACATTATGCATTTGTATTTGTAATGTCTTTGTATGTCCTGTGGGACCATAGTGTGGTTATAGAAATATGGGTCACAAGTTTATTTTTTATGTCATTTATTAGAACACTATGAATTTAAGAAAATTTACTGCAGCGATCGTGTTGAAAATCAGAAGCTCACATCATGGGAACGACTTACTAGATGCCAAAGACTAATCTGATATCAAGGTACATAGCAGTCAAAAACTGCTTTGCAGGCAGTGCTTTTCAATTAATGTACTGGATTTCTATTCCCAATTCCTGTAGATGTCTGCAGAAGCATATTTCAAAATTCTCCATGTTAAAACATTTAAGTGAAAAATAAAGTGCACCTTAAAAACTGTACCACAAATTGTATAATAAATTCATCTGAATTTTTAGGCCAATTGCTACTGTATATTCACAAATGATAATAACTTTGCCAGCAGGCTGACAAGCCAAAATAGAAACACTTGTTTTGAATTAAGCTGGTTTTTCGCTCTTTGTTGCTAAGTAGCATTTTTTCCCTCCAAAACTTACTGGTCTAGACTCTACTGTCATTAAGAAAGACCAACAAATTTCTGGTTGCCAGCTTTTGCCACCAGATAGAGAATGCTGGAGAAGAGCTTTTTGAGTCCATGTTGGAATCCTGTGGCCCTTGTCTGGCCTGACCTCAAACCAGGTATAACATGGTGGGTTTTGCTAGGGTTTTCTTTTGGGTTTTGAGTTTCTTTAAAGCTGAAACTTTGAAGCTCAAAATCCTCAGAAGGAACAGAAAGAGAAACCTCATGCAAACAAATACCACTGATCTTTACAAAGCTTTGATCTCTTATGTATCTATAGTGCCTTTCATCATGAAGAAGCCCAGTAAGATTTATAAACTGCCTTCAAAGGGAAATATCTTATCCTCTGTACCACAATGTGCACACCACTGAAAACCAGTCTTCAGAGCAGATGACCTATACCTGTGACAACGTGCACACCTGGAGCATGATGCATATTAACCAGCAGTAGGGCAATAATTAGCAAATACAGAGGAAAAACATTATTTAGCAGGATCTGAAATGCCAGAGAAAACAGTAGAGACCTCACATTT